CAGTGAAGAATGATGGACTGACCTCATAATAGGTCAGTTGACAAATAGGGATCATTAAGGGACGAGGGATATGTCTTGCGTCAATTTCATCTTAGCATGGCTGTCAGAATGGAAATGAAGACGCTGTCGTTTTTTCTATCCTTTTTAAAGGTTTTGGACGTCACTTTCTTTGATCAAGCTGTTGAATTTCTTAGGATAATCAAGCCATTTCAAGTACACATCTTTTACTCCGTTTCTATTTCGCCTTTTTAACACCTTTTCGACCTTGAATAGGTCGTCCCTCCCTTTTGTGACCTTTTGGAGTTCGCTATTATAAATGGGACTTCTGTTTAAACACTTTCTCACATATATCACATTTGATTCCCTTAGGTGTCTGTGTCACAGTATTGTTAGGCACGGTAAGCTGATCGGCGAGGAGTGTTAGACGACGCAGGCTCATTTCCGTATCCGTGTCGATAGATCTAAACCGGCTACTGTCTTTATACTGTATATATGCTGCCTGTCCATCGTCCTACAATGAAAAAAATCATTATAAAACAGAGATAAAATGTGGTTGTTCCAGTAATTTTTAAATAATGATGCGAACTATACATACACACACACATAATTGGTTAACACTAACCTTTATCGCTTGGTTGGGTTTAACCAAAATTCGTCTGCTACGATATTACACGAGAGCTATGTGTACACCTCACCTGGAGGTGTGGGACTGATACCGTCTCGCTGTTTTATCTGTTCAGATTTTCTAATACACCGAAAAATATACAATATCTAAAGGATTGAAAAACGATGTTTGCACGTTGACGGTCCGTCGATGAATGACTTACTGATTTGATTTGATTTTTATTTTGAAGGTTTTACGTCTGCTATTACGGCCTTCCGGACTTTCAATAGACGAGAACAGATAGGAAAAGGAAATAGAATGGAGAGAAAGGAGAGAAGAGGAGAGGGTAGAGGTGGAGGAGATAGAAGTCGTCTGTCCTATAGACCTACACGGGGGATAGTATATATTTGCGTGACGACTCCTGGGCCGAAAATAGTAACCTAACGTTGATCTGGACCCTGGAACCAGCCAAGTGGGTTTAGCCCTAGCTAAGATGAATTTTACTGACTTACCATTTGATGTGGACTTTAGATAAGACCTTTGTAGAAGCGGTTCGAACCGGTCACGCTAAATATAGACTTGACGCAAGACATATCCCTCGTCCCTCAATGATCCCTATTTGTCAACTGACCTATTATGGGGTCAGTCCCTCATCCCTCACTGATCCATCCCGTTAGGGAGGGATTTACTATAAATATAGAAGGAGCGACGGATTTATGCAGAACTCTCATTTCCTATTCATCAGGTACCTTGATATTTGGCAACTTCCCCCCGGTTGTTTAATGAGCCATGTCTATGAATGGTAGGGTTATTCACACTAGTAATAGTTTGTCTCAAGGTGGTGGAACCGTCGATTATTTGTTGTTAACTCATTCACCCCTGCAATTTCATTATGAACTTTTTTAACCTTTAAATTGGAAGAGTTCAATGTATCTTCAGGGGTGAATGAGTTAATGTTGACGTCGACCCGACCTAGAGTTACACTCAGTCGAGTGTGTATGGATGCAGCTAAATATTTCTGGAAGGTCCATTTTATATGGGACTATCTATAGGCCCCCCGATGCACTAGTTTCTTCCTGGTATCACATTGCCCATTCTATAGATCTTGCATTCAGTACCGGAATCTCTAACATAATTGTAACTGGTGACTTCAATGCAAATTTACTAAGTGACACTAATTACTGTCTACACCTACGTAATTTACTATATACTTTAAATATTACCCAAAGCGTTGCCAGTCCTACTTTCTTCACTGAATCGTCTTCCTCCCTTTTAGATATAATTTGCGCAAGTGATCCTTCTTTAGTTAACATGTGTCATTTCGGTGAAAATTTCCTCGATCAGCCTATTAGATATCATTGTCCCGTGTATGGCCCTCTTAACATTTCAAAACCCTAAAATCCAGTTTTAAACGTAAGGTATGGCTATATGACCTAGGCAACTACGGCGAATATCGTGACAGACTTTCTAAAGTTGACTGGGACAGCACTTTCGACATTAATGACATAGACAAAAGTACAGAGCAATTTACACGTTATATACTTACAATTGCAAATGAGTGCATACCTAATAAAGATATAATTGTAAGAGCGAATGATGCTGCTTGGACGAATAGTGCAATTAGAAAATTGATTCGTAAACGTAAGTATCTACACCGCAAAGCCAAACAGTCACATAATACTGACGACTGGTCGAATTTCAGGAAAGCTCGTAACATGTGTATAAATGCCATTCGTAAATCCAAACGTGATTATTTTAACAAATTATGTACAAAGCTTAACCATACTTAAACCATTAGCAAAGAATGGTGGAAGATTGTTAATCGTCTTATGTCTAACTCAAGCAAAAAAAAACATATTCCTCCTATTTCCGATAACGGTAACTTTATACACGACGACTTAGACAAAGCCAATGTCTTTAACACTTTCTTCAGCTCACATTCTAATAATAACGACACTAATATTGACCCTCCTGATCTATACCAATCCCATAATCATACTCTTTCTGACATTGTCATATCCCGACAAGATGTTCTTGACGTAATACATTCTCTTGACTGCAAAAAAGTTGTTGGTCCTGACCTCATAAACCCTCGTCTAATCAAAGAAGCAGCCGAAGTTCTTAGTTATCCACTTCAAACATTATTTAACCACTCTCTTACTACTTATAATTACCCGTCGCAATGGAAGAGGGCGAATGTTAGTCCCGTGCACAAAAAAATGATCCATCTGTACTCGGAAATTACCGTCCTATCTTTCTTTTGTCTATCATAGGTAAAATGATGAAAAGGTGTATATATAAATATGTTTATAACTACAAAAATGTATTTAACTGACAAGTCCCTACTTTCATCTTGTCAGTCGGGTTACATATCTGGTGATTCCACTATAAATCAACTTGTATCTATTTCTAACGATATATTTTCCGCTTTAGATAAAGGTAAAGAATTTAGAATGGTCTTCTGCTATATTAGTAAGGCTTTCGACCGAGTATGGCATCATGGCCTTCTTTCTAAACTCCAAAACATAGGTATCACAGGTAAATTATTTGATTGGTTCTCGAGATATTTACGTAATCGCTGCCAACATGTTATCATCAATGGTAAACAATCAAACTTAATTTACATTTCTGCTGGAGTTCCTCAAGGGTCAATTCTAGGTCCATTATTATTTCTAATATTTAAAAATGACATCGTCGAAGATATTAATTGTATTATAGAGTTGTTTGCTGACGACACGTCTTTATACGTTATAGTGGATTTGCCGGATCTGAGCGCTAATCTCTTGAATGATAATCTAAACAAAATTCATGATTTGTCAAAAACATGGCTTGTCGATTTCAATCCCAGTAAGACAGTAGCAATGACAGTAAGCATAAAAAATGACAAACCACTTCATCCCCCTTTGTCTATGAACAACAACCCACTAACAGTGGTAACATGCCACAAACACCTTGGTGTCTTTATTTCGTCTAATGGCCTTTTAAGAAAACTGAAATTTACTATTGACAGAAAAACGCTTCAAACTATTTATTTTACTTTCAAATAAGATGTCGTACTGAACTCTATAAAGACTCTTTTCTACCTTCCTCTGTTGACGTATGGAATGCTCTTCCGGATGACGTTAAGCATAACCCATCACTCACTAACCTTAAGAAGTCCGTGAATGCCAACTAACATCACAATAACCGTGTTCCATCCTTATACCACTACTGCAAAAGTAGATTTGGCCAAATTCACCAAGCTCGACTGAAGATGAACTGTAGTTCCCTTAAAAATCGCTTATTTTTACGTAACTTAGTTGAAAGTCCCATGTGTTCTTGTAACCGTTCTGCTGAAACTACTGAAGACTTTCTCCCCTTTTGTCCTAACTTCGAACAATTAAGATTACAATGTTTTAGAAATCTTCCTCATGGGAATAATTTAAATCTGCTGCTGTATGGAAATCCTGATATGCCAGATCAATATAACTTAAATATGTTTGACTCTGTCCAAAAATTTATCTGTAAGTCGAAACGATTTTAGTGCAAGACTTATTTATTTCATTTTATTTTTATGTAATTATTGCGTTTGTTTAAACAATGTACATTAACTTTGAAACCTATGTTGTTCGACAACACTTGTGACATGCCAGTATGATATTTAGACTTTATGAGTTTTGTTGATACTGGAATTAATATAGACTACAACACTCTTGCATTTTGCAGGATATCAGTATACTTTTTGATTGGAATCAACGTAAGATAATTTAGAGATGTCCAATGTATTTAATGCATCCTTATATAGAGCTGATTAGGGTTACCTTTTCATGAATCACATTCCAACCAGATTCAATTAAGTAATGCAGTTCTTCTCGTTATTCCCCTCATAACCACTTTCTTTCATTTCCTGATGCACCCCTTCCACCCTCCCCTCCCTGATTTCTTCTTCATCTCTTTGTCTGTTATACTATCAAAATATATGTAACAGTGCAGTCCTACAGCCAGGTGTATTGATAAGGAGACGAATTAATATAAGTACTTATGTACTTGTTTTCGAATCCTCTTTGTCGATTATTGAATAAAATACTGTTTAAACTAATGTTGACGTAGCATAAAATTAATAAACGACATTCTAACTTAAATCAGTATTTCTGTTTTTTCTTCTTCTTCTTTCCACGAGCACTACTGGACACTGATAGTTCTGAACAATTCTGGCGTGGTATATTATTATGTACAGCTACAAAGAATAAGAAGAATTAAAAGAATATTATATATGTATATGTATTACTTTAAAACAGGAACCCTTTGCAGCGTTTTTTATGAAAGTTTTGGGTAAGGTTGAATAGACATATACATGATAATATACACACTTGGCTGTGCTCTTTGTTATTGTACTTATGTATGCGTTCTATTGAATTGTAATCCATTTAAATTGTAGGATAGACTACCGGATATAGTGTCGTGTTCTTACTTAACCAATTAACTATTCTCGTCATTCCAGTTACCTGACGACAAAATGGCGAAGCTTTTAGGGATCTGTGTCCTTCTTTCCTACCTCACAGGTATGTGGTTTTTTATCATGTATGTCTATTTCTTTGAAAACAAACGAGCTTTCTTAGATTGAAACTCCTTCAGTTAAGACCTTCCATGAAATAACATTACTGAAGATAAGGATATTTTCCTGAGGATTATCCACTATACAGGTGAAGGGCAAAACTCAAACTCGGCTAATAGAGATTTTACAGTGAAGGGCGAATATTTAAATTTGCGAAAGTTTCCCGGTATACCGTAGTACGTTCTAATGAAATAAGCTTAAAGCTGTCAGTGCAAATTAAATATGTTTTTTTTTTCTGGTTTCGAGATCTTCCCCATCTCATCCATCTATCGTTTCTAAGGAAGTGCCAACATATTAGTTTGTCTTTGCTTGCTAACGAGTATGGGTCTCGCTTGGTATACAAAGCGCATTACCTGTCATTACCTGTCAAACCGGTTATCATTTGTTCAATATGTGCACAAGGTGAATTTTTTTTACTATATAAATATTTATTTTATAATACAGGCTATTTCCGTTCAATATTGCCGTTCAATACAAACGATATTGCACACGTACAACAAACATGCAAATGAGTCTTGTCACCGCGGGAAACAGGTCATATTACTACGCACTTTGTAAACAAATCGGCTGACCGAGTAACTGTTTGCATTGATACCTGAGGCAGGGGCACTGGGAGAATAAGATTAACAAACGAGTTTAATAAATTCAATATTATATAAACACGAGTGTAAATCATCGCGGGAATGATATACAATAATTTATCGTTATCATATCGGATAAAATATAGAAAAACGATGGCTTAAGAGATGTTAAAATGTCTTGTGTTCTTGTTACCAATTTTGGTCTGAAGTTACCTATATGTCAGTTTCATGTAAAAACTTAGAATTGAACTGTATACTGAAACAGGTTGGCTTCCCCTCGAGGAAAGACGTAAACAGCACAAGCTTATTCTTTTCCACAAAATGGTTCATGGTCTGGCTCATCAATATCTTCTAAATATTCCAACTCAGCGTAACCGAAATTACCACAACCATGATACTTGCACGGGTAATAGTTTTCGTCCACTAGGTTGTTATACGAGTCTCTATTATAAATCTTGTTTGCCATCTGTCATCAGTATCTGGAACTCCTTGCCTGACTATATCAAGAACGACCCTTCAGTTTATAAACCTAAAACCTATCTACGCAAGCCCGCTTTAATGGTACCAGACTGGGTCAGATACATCATGCTAGATTAAGGATGGAGTGTAGTCCCCTTAAGTTTTAGCTTTACCAGAGAAATCCAATTGAAAGTCCTCTGTGTTCTCCGATTTACTTTTGTTCGGGAATGATGAGCTTACAGATGATGAAATGCTTTAATTTTTCATCTGTACATAACTTCATCATCAATTCTAAAAGATTTGACTTAGTTCTATTTATTATACATCGATTCTAACGATATAAAATATACCAATTATGAATGGTAGTATGCGAGTGAGTGAGTATGTGTTCGTTCATTATAGTTTATAAATCCAGGGACAGTATACTCCATTATACTTCCCTGACTAAAGTTATGGTAATTATTACTGAAATGAAAATATGTACTGTTATATTTCTTCTATAATAATTGTATTTATCTTTGTTTGTATCGACAATGAAATATTTTAAAATTAAATAGATTGAATCAAGGATTTCCAAATAACGACGATCTTGCCAAAAAATACCCGGGTCCGCACAACATCTGTACTTGTATTGGGTACATTTAACTTTATATTGGATAGCATTGGGTAAATCGATGTTTGTATTGGGTTGTATTGCATGAGTTGTATTTGGTAAATCGACGCGCCGGTAAAATACGACCAATTCAAATCTAATGATCAACTGTGTAATACTAGATTTTTCGAAGGCATTTGATACTGTGCCTCACAAAACACTCCTGCACAAGCTGTCATCATACGTAAACGGTCAAATACACACATGGCTCACACAGTTCCTTACTGCTAGTACCGCTAAGCTAAAGGGAAATCATCTACAGCTGACGCTTGTAAGGCAACATAATTAACCCACTCCTTTACAAAATACATGTAGTCACTAATGATATTTTATGTTAAGTTTCCGAACAGATCTAAGTCATGGCCCATCATTTGCTGAGTCATTTCAGGCTATAACAATTTCTCTTCTGATTTATGGACAACGATAAAAGTGTTTTATTGAATATTTTAATAGTGTTCCTGAAGATGGGGGGAAAAGTCCAACATCTTCCGCAACATGGCTGCGGCAGACTGGCTTTTGATAAGTCGAAATCTATGAATTGTCCAATATCCATATGTAAAAGTGTGCACTAGTGTCACTACAAAAACTACTACGTTCTGTGCTTTTATTTGACAAAATGTCCGTGTTAGGTCGGGTCCTGATTGGTCGACATTTATATATTAACCGATGTTATAAATTTGGTATGTAGATGTATTATGTAGGGTTGTCAACGGTTAGCCGGTTAAGTTAAACAGTTACTCGGGCGAAAGACCACGAACTGGCAAGATGGATTAATTAGATAAGATACATTTTATTTAAAGTCAGTGTGCATTTTTAATCAAATAACATAAGCTCTATAGACCGACAAAATCCTTAACCAAAAAGTCGGACATTTACCTATTCCTTTTGGGAGCCCCATGTTTCCCTGGCTTAGTCCTACAAACTATCTGCATTTGTATAGATGTGACCAAAATTGGATAGTTTTGTAATTAAACAAAGTTTAATTTTGTACTCTTATTTAAATACTGACAAAGAGACGTCGCCAACACCATAATAAATATGAAAAGATTTTAAAAGGAAGCCAGAGTACAAAGTTGTTAAATATCAAATTTCTGAGATAGAACGCGCCTTTATATATGAATGAAAAGATAGTCTGAAGAGTATACACTTAATTTTGTTCTAAAGAATAATATTACCGCATATGGTTTCAAGTACAGATACCTGTAATTGAATCCGTCTTACTGCATTCCGACATTTGTTGTCCATGACATATACTTACTGAGGTAATAACATGCAATTATTTCCTGTGTTAACCTTGAAATACACGAGTAAACTATCATGCTAATTGATTTATACATGTATGTTTGTGGGGTGTAAATACGTTTTAGATAGAACATTTTCCAATCATATAATGTATTTGTTACTGTTTAATATTTGACTACCAAATTGACCGATTAACCAGTTACTCGATCGGTAGAAGAGTAACCGGTTACAAAAATAAGACCTGTTTGACAACCCTAGTATTATGGCATTGGGATCATTTTCTGATGCATCACTTGCGACTACTTGGTTAGCTTCGGCACCTTATGGCGTAACGGTTCCTGTTACGAGTAGATATTGTTATACCTTTCAGAGCAATGATTTCACATCTGCTTTAATTAGTAAGTTAATGTTGTGTAAAAATGTGTGTCCTTTGTTCCTTTGGCCAAAGAAAGGTGTCCTTTGTTAGATATGACTCGCATATTATTTTATAGACGGTATATCTCGCGCAAATTATCTTTTGAAAACGTCTCTATGTTAGGATATTTAGTGGAATGGCAAGTATATGAATAATAGATCAATTGATAAATACAGGTATTGTCATTCAAAGAAGTGGTATCATATGTGTGTTAATTCTCTAATAATAATAAATGATAATATACTTCATTCATATAACGCCCTATATAATTTGTAAAATTACTCTTAAAGCGCTTTACACCATATGGATAATAGTATCATGTATAATTAGTTATAATTGTGAAACAAAACAAGAGGCCCAGGGGCCTTTATAGCTCATCTGGTATTCTATTTTACGATTTAAAACCTGCTGGGTACCATATAGTTTTATCAAAGGAGTACACCAAAGACACCAAGAAAATGAGTTTCCATAGTATGTCCCTATTGGGCCTCACATGCACCTTTTTATGCAAATTAAACAAATTGAGTTGTTTTCCCCTAAGCATGCTTCAGACCACATTTGGTTTAAATCCCTTCATTTGTACAGAAGGGAAAATATTATTCAATTCCCTTTGCCCAAAGATTCTCTAGAACAAGGGTGGTTAAAATCCCTTCAACTGTACAGAAGGAGAAGGATCTTTAATGTTTTCCTCTATTTCCCCTAATGGGCCCCACTCGTCTGCTCCAAAGAAGGGGGTCCACACACCTCAGTTTATACAAAATTGATTCTTTTGTCGCTAAGCATGGTTTAGACTGCATTTGGCTTAAATCCCTTCACTTGTAAAGTAGGAGAGGAAAAACCTCTATTTCCCCTATTGGGCCCCGCCCCTATGCCCCCAGAGGGGCCACACCCTCCGTTTATACAAACTTGAGTCTCCTGTGTCCAAAGATGGTCTAGGACAAATTTGGTAAAAATCCTTCTATTGGTTTTTAAAGATTTACCTATTTGACCCCGCCCCTCTGCCCCCAGGGGGACCATACTCTTTGACAAATGATTCTCCAGACCAAATTTGGTCAAAATCCTTTGAGCCGTTCAGGACAAGTAGCGTTTTAAAGGAAAAAGTTGACGGACGACGGACGCTGCGCCATAGGATAAGCTAACAGGTGAGCTAAAAACCAAAGGCTTACAATCACTTTTAAACATTAAGCAAGCAGATAATCTTCGCAATGTGCAAATAAATGAATACACAAAGGGTGGTATTTACATGACGTCTTGGCAAAGAGCCTAAAATGCAGACATGAAGAGGTGAGTTTTGATGTCTTTCTTGAATTTTGGTCACAGTACGAGATTTTGCGACACACAACAATGATTCTGCCACCGACCGGAGTGATCGCGACGGCTGATACAGGGTACAAGCTCCTGTAGGTACTGGGGAGCTGTTCCTAATGTGCCTTTTGTGTATACACCAAAATATTGTACTGCGACCTGTATCTTACAGGTAACCAGTGCAATGAATATAGCACAGGTGTGATATGCTCTCTCTTTCGAGTACCAGTAACCAGTCGTGCTTCAGTGTTCTGGACCCGCTGCAGACGACTAGTTAGTTTGTCAGATATACG